GGGGCAGTGTAAAAAGACTTAGAAGGTTTCATTGGAAGTAGAGGTCGCATCTCTGAAGTTTTATCTGGCAAACGTTCTTTAACCCTGCAAATGATCCGACGCCTTCATAGAACTTTAGATATACCTGCAAGGATTCTAATTCAGGAAACAACTTCTCATTGAGTCATTTTTTCCAGTTAAGTAGTTGAATCATGTTATACATGATTTTTTAATTTGAAACATTCTCCTCTATTAGAATTAACCCTTTATAAGACTGTTACTTTTTCTGACAATAGGCACAAAAGAATGTTGATCTTCCTGCTTGAGTCATCTTTTTAATCTTATGCTCACACTGAAAGCAAGAGTGAGACTTACGGCCATAGACTTGAAATTGGTGTTGAAAATATCCCAACTTTCCATTGGGTTGTCGGTGGTCTTGAAGAGAAGATCCTCCTGCTTGAATAGCTCTTTGTAAGACAGACTTGATTTTATCACATAGAATATTAAGTCGCATAAGGGTTAAATTTTTTCCCGATGTTTCCGGGTGAATACCTGCTTCAAATAAAGATTCACATACGTAAATATTGCCCAAACCAGCTACAATATTTTGCATAAGAAGCAAATTCTTAATGGGGGCTTTTCTATTTTGAAGTTGTTTCTGTAAATAGTGTCCCTCAAATTCATTTGATAGAGGTTCTATTCCTAGTTCCTTGAACCAAGGAGAATCCTTGATTTTTGAAGTGAGCATCATACCCATATACCCAAATCTTCGAGGGTCTCTATATACTATTTTTCCATCATTTAGAGTGACTTCAAGGTGATCATGAATCGTTATTGTGTCCGGATTGATAAGTATCTGACCCGACATGCCTAAATGAATGATCCATACGAAACCTGTCTCAAGATAAATTAAAATATATTTTGCTCGTCTTGAAACTGACTTAATTTTGGCATTTTCTAAAGAGGCCTGAAAATCTTTTGGAAAAGGAAAGCGAAGGTTAGACCTGTTAAGGCGAGAGGCTCTAATGACCTTATTTTCAAGAAAAAGCTTAAGTCCCTGACAAACTGTTTCGACTTCTGGTAATTCAGGCATATGTGATTTTAACAATTCTTTTGTTTATTTCGGTTAAATTCAAGCTAAGGCTAGCTTACAAGAACAGTAAGCTATTGGTTCGGAAAGTCAAGATGCCTAAGGGAATTGCAATGGAGGTAAAATACTAATAATGAGTACAAACATTCGTCAAAATATGCCAAAAGGGGAGTCTAGCTCAATATGATTCACCAATTGCAGGACGAGTTTCCAAGAGCATCATTAGCCGTATTTGGGTAACTCTATAAGAATTTGTTCCTTTTGCTCCGTTTCTTTCTCTCACTTCATTAAACATTTTCTCTGGGGGGGCATAAAAAACTTACTTCTCAAAGTATCTCCTGGTCCCGATGTGTGATCAGTGGGGATGACCCTCAAACAGGAAAAGGTTTTCTCATGCTTGTGGTTTTTGCTGAAGATCAATCAGAAAAAAGTATTGTTCTTTGCACAAATAATGATGGACCTGGTTCAGGAAGCTTTAAAACTTTGGATAAAACCTTTGAGAAGTTTTATAATAATGATGTAGGTTACACTGTTTATCCATCGACTAAAGGTGATAATTTTAGTGATATTCTTCAAAAAGCTGGTCCACAAGGTGTGTGGTATGTTCTTGAGGAAATCGACATCCCCCTCACTCTTGATGCTTAGCTTACAAAGGCAACAGTTCCCTTCAAAAAAACACCACAAGAAGGGCTTTCTTCGCAAAAAGAAATAACGCTTCAAAATCCTTATTCAAAAAAAAGCTGTACAATAAATTGATGGCTATCCTGTTTGAGAGAAAAAGCCTTTAGCACTAAAAATTTATCAAACTCAAGATTAGAATTTTACAGAAAAGCTAAAGCAAATTTGTGAGAAAGTCGACCGTCAAATCACACAAGAAAATATAACGAAT